CAGTATATACAGTATATAATGTATATATACAGGCTTCTTGCACAAAAGTGTTAGGGTCAGGGCTTTTTTAGTTCACATATAGTTGCAGGTCCAATCCAGGATCTCAAGACACTTATTAGAAATCAGACAGAACAGTCAGTAGAGTTTGTGACAAGATGTTTTTTTCCTAAAAATATTGTTAAAATCTCATCTTGTGAGACAAATGTCTCGTTACACTCTGACCACTCAGTCAAGATGTCAGAAACTAATTATCTGAAGCCCTTCTAAGGGTGTAATTGAAAAAGCCAAGAAAGACATGTCCAGACATGCAAAGCCCATGGACATCTTGCTTCTAAAGCCCTGAATCATACATGTAATTTGTAGACCTTTTGATGATGGAACGATTTCTAGGTGGGCTGCACCGTGTGGCCTCCATGTGGTCAGCGAGAGTGTGGGAGATTTGATTGGCTGCCAGATCTGAGGTCAGAAGGTGTGTGGTAATGATGTTTGATGCGTGGTGAGATAGCAGCTTATTGGATGAAGTACAATGTCCCAAACACACACACACCTACACCACACATACACAAACACACACTATGATGTAGCGTTGTGCAGCGTTAAATAAGATGAGCTTAGGCTGGACCTTGACTGTGTAATCTCCATTAAAAGAAAGCAGAGCAGTGTTCAGGTTGGCTCGGGCCACTGTATCAAGCACTGTTTCATCAAGATAATGCTCTCTGCCTCCTCTTCGTCTTTCTCCCTTTGTCTCTCAGCCAATCCCTCTCCCTGGATGGGTGCACATGTTGCAAGTGTGTGAGAGGGAGAGATGCTGACAGTGTCCTTGATAAGGTCTGAGTGTTAATGTCATTGTCTTGGCAGCAGCTTATGTTATCACTTATTGCATATTCTTTTGCGTCTTATTACACAAATACATTGGAAACTCGCTGCTCTTCCTCTTGTTTCCTCACATCAGTTATCTGCTACCCTCTGTGGTAAATACAGGGAAAAAAGACACTGATGTAAATTGGAAGATTATTTAAGCTTATAGTACATATTAGTCACACAGCAAAGACATCACCATTTAGAAACCAGTCAGTCTCCTGTGGATTTTCTCAAGTTTATGGGGAAAAAAGTGATTAGGTTCTAGGAAACGATGTTTCTTGAGCTGGGGGAAAGAAACGCAAGACATCATCTGTAAAACTGTATTTTTTATTTCTTGAATTTGTTTTCCTGGTTGAAATTGACCACCCACTGACTTTAGCAATGCCTTCTTCTGAAATGACAAGGACCAATGCTCAGATATTTTCACAGGCTTCTTTCGTATTTTTCGGGCTCATCTTCGAAGTGCGACCTAGGCAGAGCGGATTTAATTTGATGAAGACATGTCATTAGTTTGCATTGTTTATGTTTTGTCAATTAGGATGTATGGTACTGAAATAGAACAAAATGTTGTATTATATTTTGTATTGTAGCCTATTCCTTTTTTATGAACCCATCCTTTACAAAAATATTTTCAAAACAGCAGTGGCGGGCACAGATCTGCTAAGTCACTAACAGCTAATAGCGAAGCTAACTTTTCATTTAGCAAATCAGCAGTTTTGTTAACTTTGGAAACCTATCGCGAACCAGTTAGCTTCTACTAAATGTAGTGCTTTTAACTTGAAATTTACTAACAAAAACAGCTACTCCCCTAACACATGCAATGCTACAAACCTGTGTTATGTGTGCATGTGGCATGTTTAGCAATTTGTGTGTCCACTTCCGTGTGGCACAGATTGGGTGACAGTTACCTTTGTCCACTCAAAATCTTTGTATGATGGTCAGAAAGGGTTATTTTGGCTGGGAGAACTGTCCCAAAGTGCTTTGGGAGTTAATCAGTTTACACAATTTTATCCTGGTGGATTACTGATTCAAAGAGCTCCAGTTACAAACCAGTTAGTGGCTATCAGTTCGTTGATTGGTGGTCAGTGAAGCTAAATTTTGAGTAGCTGAGCCCACCACTGAGCAATGGAATTTCTTACAATGACTGGACAATAAACACAAAAAAATAGAAGAGACTTTTTTCAACCAAACTGCAATCAAATACTGTGTATTTTTGATGGACAATAGACCCAATTAATTATGCTAAAAGTTAAAAACTAAAAAAAATTGGATGTGTAGCATTCCTTGAAAGAAGTAATATTGCTTTTTATGCCAAAGTGGTAGACTAATATTATTTCATTAACGCAGGAATGCTCAGCCTTGAATTTTAGAATAAATAGTTTTTGTGGTCAGTTTACTTATTGCAACCTGCATGAGAGCTCCTAAAAGATATTATGGGTTGTGTTTAACAGTGGAAACCATCATACAGTTTATTGCGTTACAAGATTTATAGTGTACTAATTATAGGATACTAAACTGCTTGGCTCATATGTGACAACATCGGCTGTTTTTAATGAAATCAAAACATGTAAATACAGAGATATCCTTTTTATGGTTTCTTCTTTTGTGTTAGAGTACACTTTATCCTTTCTTTACCTATTCAGTGCAAGTTTGAGTACATAAACTAGACGATTCCTCTGCATGTACTGTTTAAAATCTTGAATAGTCCTTGAACCGTTTCAACTGTTGCATTGCTCTGAAACAGTCCTCCTCCAGCTCCAGAGTGGGTTTACACAGAAGGCCATATTGGTGATGTGAATTTTGTCAAGTTTCAGCCGATTTATCATCATTTTCTCCAGATACATTTTTTTCTTTTCTTCCTCTCATTCTTATCTCCACTCTACATCTCTTTCACTGCATCCATCTTGATCTCTCTTTGCATCAGTTGGCCTTTTCCCAGGCGCTGCTTTCTCTGGCTATCTATTTGGATTTATTTTTCTTCTTCTTTTTACACTTTTTTACCATCTCGGTGTTTTCCCATGTGCTTTTCGTTTGCTTCGGTCTTTTTTTCCACTTTTTTGCTCAGGCTTTGTCCTAGTTTTGCAGTTGTTGAGGAAAGATCCTGTGGGAGGTGGCACACACACACACACACACACACACACACACACACACACAC